AAGCTGATCTTTGAAATTTTCTATTCAGCTCTTGGACATTTTTTTCATTTGTTTTAGCATCTCTATGCTGGAGAGCAAGTTTCAGTATCTCTTCTGACATCCGTTTTGACCTTTTCCTTCATTCTTGTCTTCTCAGTGACTTTTTGCTTTCTTCCTATATGATGTTCTTCATGTCATCCCACAACTCTGGTCTTTAGTGTTTAATGTATCAAATCTGTTCTTCAGATGATCTCTAAATTTAGGTGGGATATATTTAAGGTCATATTTTTGCTCTCATGGTCTTGTTTTCATTTTCTTCAGCTTCAGTTTGAATTTGCATATGGGTAATTGATGGTCTGTTCCACAGTCTGCCCCTGGCCTTATTTTCACTGATGATATGGAACTTTTCCATCTTCTCTTTCTGCAAATGTAGTCAATTTTATTTTTATGTATTCCATCTGGTGAGGTCCATGTGTATAGTTGTCTCTTATGCTGTCTAAAGAAGGTATTTGAAATGAACAAATCATTGATTTTGCAGAATTCTATTATACGTTCTCCAGCATCATTTCTATCACCAAGGCCATATTTTCCAACTACTTATCCTTCCACTGCATTCTAATCACCAGTGATGATCAATACATCTTGATTGCATGTTTGATCGATTTCAGTTTGAAGAAGTTGGTAGAATTCTTATATTTCATCCTCACTGGCTTTAGTGGTTGGTGCGTAAATTTGAATAATAGTGGTATTAATTGGTCTTCCCTGTAGGCACATGGATATTATCCTATTACAGGCAGTGTTGTACCTCATGACTGATCTGGATATATTCTTTTTGACAATGAATACAACACCAGTCCTCTTCAATTTGTCATTCCCGAAGTAGTAAACCATGTGGTTATCAGATTCAAAATGGCCAATACCAGTCCATTTCAGCTCACTAATGCCTAAGATGTCAATGTTTATGCGTTCCATTTCATTTTTGACAATTTCCAGTTTTCCCAGATTCATATTTTGTACATTCCATGTTCTGACTTTCAGTGGATGTTTACAGCTGTTTCTTTTCATTTTGAGTTGTGCCCCATCAGTAAATGAAGGTCTATTGGGCTTTTCTCCCACGGACTTTACTCCATTCACGTCATCACGGTCAGCTTTACTTTGAGATGGCAGCTCTTCCCCAGTAGCATCTTGAGTGCCTTCCAACTCAAGGGGCTCATTATCCGGCACTATATCTGACAGTGTTTCTCTGCTATTCATAAGGTTTTCAGTGACTAAATTTTCGGAAGTAGTTTGTCACTCTTTTTTCCTAGCCTGTCTTTGTCTGGAAGTTCATCTGAAACCTCTCCACCATGGGTGACCCTGCTGGTATTTAAAATACCGGTGACATACCTTTCGAATCACAGCAATTCACAAGTCACCATAAACTGACAGACTGACAGATGATTGGTGGCAGATCCTTTAGACAAGGTGAAAACCATTTAGTGGAGATTCTATCTTCCCTATAGGTAGTAGACCTCTCGGGGGGTGGGAGTGGGGCATCCACTCCCTCAGGAACCCACACTTGTCACTAGTGTGGTGGTGCGCAGATAGTGAGAGGCCAATGAACAGGAAACAATGTTCACACCTTTATCTGCTATATTTGGCCAAACATTTAATTAGCTCACCCCTGATAGGATGTCTTAAGGAGCTCTGGTAGCATAATGGTTATCAGTTGGGCTTCTAACTTCAATCAAGGTCAGCAGTTCAAAACTACCAGCAGGAGAAAGATGAGACTTTCCACTCCCGTAAAGATTTACAGCCTCGGAAATCCTATATAGGGTCGCTATGAGTTGTAACTGACTTCATGGCACACAACCACCACCACCACCACCACCACCACCACGACCACCTGCACCACCACCAGTGTGATGTCTGAAACTACAGTTGTTTTGACATTCCTCACCCTTGCTCTAGAATATAAGCCCTTTGTCCCATATACACGTTATAAATATTTTCCCTCAGTTCCTGGCCTGTCTTTTCATTTTTTAATTGTGTCTTTTGAAGAGCAAAAATTTTAAGCTTTTATGAATTCCAATTTATTAATTTTCTTGTACAGTTCATGGTTTTTATGCCTTGTTTATTTTTTGCCTAAACCAAGGCCACAGACATTTTGTCATATTTTTTTCCCTAGAAGTCTAACTGTGTTGGCGCTTACATTTATGTCTGTGATCTATTATGGTAACTGTTGAATGTGGTGTGAAGTAAGAGTTGGCCTTGTTTCATAGTGATCCAGTTGTTCTAACATCATTTGCCTGAAAAACTTCTTTCCTCATTGAACTGCCTTTGAATTTTTGTTGATAATCAAAATATATTTATAAAATATGTATCAAAATACGCAATCAATATTTGTTATTCTTAAATGCCATGGAGTTGGTTCCAACTCATAGTGACCCTGTACATGGTTTCCGAGAAGTGTCTGGTGAGTTTAAACTGCCAACTTTCGTGGTTCAATCTGACTTTGAGGTTGAGTGCTCATCCTACAGTGCCACACCAAGACTGCATTATCAATATATTGTTAACCATATATCTGTGGATCTATTTCTGTGCTCTACATTCTGTTCCATTGATCTGTATATACTGTACTGTCTGGAGTCCTGGTGTAGTGCTGTAGGATAAGCACAGGACCCCAAAGTTGGTTTGAACCACAGGATAGGTGGTTCAAACTCACCAGCTGCTCTTCAGAAACCCTATACAGAGTCTCTATGAGTGGGAACTAACTCCACAGCACTTAACAACAACAACAACAACAACAACTGGTTACGGTGGCTAGTATTTACTCTTTTTTCTTACTTTCTTAATTTTTATGTTTCTCTTGGAGCCATACTCATAGTGTTGTTGTTAAGTGCCATCGAGCGACCCTGTAACAGGGTTTCCGAGGGTGTAAATCTTTACGGGAGTAGAAAGCCTTATCTTTCTCCCGCGGAGCAGCTGGTAGTTTCGAACCGCTGACCTTATGGTTCACAGCCCGATTGGTAACCACTACGCTACCAGAGCTCCTTTATGCAGTATAAAACAAAAGTTCCTAAGGCCACAGGGCTCAACTCCTTACAGTGAGAAAGTAGGACCAAGCTTGGAAATGGTCCTCCTAGGAGTAAAGTTATTTCTGTGTGTGTGTGGGGGGGGGGACATGGCAAAGGTACCCTGGTGTATGACAAAGCTTAAAATTGTTTTGAAATACTAGTATATAGCTGTACCAGGTCACAAAACATGGTTATCACCATGGCTAGTAGCTTTTAAGGAATAGCCATGATGATTTGCTACTAAATTTAATCTTAAAAATTCTAATTTCTCTCTTAGCGTCGTGCAGCAAGAAGACTCCAATGAAGAGCTTTCCAAAGAAGAGGTCATTCTGAAGCTGAAAGCAGAAGTACAACGTTTGCTGGGTAGCAACTCGGTGAAGCGCCATCTGGTTTCCCAGTTGCAGAATGAACTCAAAGACTGTCATAAAAAAATTGAGGATCTCCAACAAGTAGAGAAGGATGAGAAAAGCATCAAGACTGAGGTTTGTTGAGTCTGTAGAGTTAAAGGACTATTTTTTTAAGTCTTATTGAGAAAACTTTTACACATTTAAATTAAACCTTCAGCACGCAGGGGTTCATTCATTTGTCTTTGTTTTTTTTTAATTTTTTTCTTTTTTTTCAGTGTTTTATTGTGAATTATATGATAGTTCACATGGGAGAACATTAGTTTTACATTCATTCTATCATATATCGTATCATTGCCATGGTTACAATCCCCTCCATGCATCATCAACCAACCAGCCCCCAGTCTTCAGCACGCAGTTGCTCACCCTCTCTGGATCTAAAGTCCCCAGCTGCACCGTCTCTCCATGTCATCGTCTCTGCCTCCATCTCAGGCATCACTGCTTCTCTGGTTAGGGTCCCGCTCTCAGCTCTTCTCGGTTAATGGTCCTAGGGACCTCCGTTCCTAGACTGGAAAGTTATTCACTCCCTTCTGTGCTATAAAACATCTACCTTTACATTTCCAACCCTCATAATCACTATTGTATCACAAGAGACCCATCTGCATTTCATTTCATCAGCTCTGCCTAAACAGATTGGATACTACTCACTGGAGATTCTGCCTTCCTGCAGGCCCCCTGGCTCTAGGTTCCCTCTTGAAAGCCTGTAAGCCAGTCACTTCTTGCCTTTGTAGTCCCACTCCCGACCCCCACCCCCATTTTGGGTAGCCAATGTCCAAGTTGCCCATCCCTGTCTACTCTGTGTGTGGAGGGGATGGGAATGATTCTTGCTGTAAGGATTTGTTCCCATTTGCCTTTGTTTTTAGAAGTAAGGTTTATAGAAGGAATTGCCACTTAGAAGAATATATTTTCTGGCTGGTCTTGGCACCTACCGAATGCGATAACAATTAGGTCAAATTCTTTTGCAGCAAATACAAGGAAGCAGTTGACATAAAGGTATCTGCATTTCCCCAAGATTGGCCTATACCAGCAATGCTCAGGAATGCAATTAAAATCTCCACAAGGAAACCCTGTAGCATTTTGTGTATGGAAGTTCTCTGACCCCAGTTCCTCCATAAAAGGAGAGTGTGTTGTAATGGTAGAGATGGGAGAGGAACTGAACCAAATGGAGATGTCAGAGTCACAGAATCAAAGCATTGAAATCCACCATAAGGGAGATGAGGCTGGAGGCATTCATGAGGGTACAGAGTCACTTGTAAGGCAAATTGAAACAAAAACACACAGCCAATAAATTCTAAATCTAATCAAGCCCATTGCTGTTGATTGTGACTCATGTGACCCTCACGTGTTACAGAGTAAAACTGCTCTATAAGCTTTACAGAAGCAGGTAGCCAGACCTTTCTTAAATGGGCACTGAGTTTGATCCATTAACCATCATGATTAGTAGTCAGTCATAAACTGCATGTGCCACCAGGGACTAATAAATAAGCCAAGGTTATTGTTACAAGATCATGTTACCACAGACATCCTTAGGGCAGCCTGCTTTAACAGATTCCCCTTTCACCTCCATACTTCACAAGTCTAAACCCATCTGGACTCCCAGGAGAAGGTAATTCATAAAAAAGACCTAATAACTATGGAAACGGAAGGGGGAAGAAAGGAATGTACCTAGTATAGTCTCTACTCCTGGACTGAAATCACTTTACTTTATACTTTTAGTACTGTTTTATCTCCCAATTCTTTAACTAGGAGTTGTATTCATTACAGTATGCTAGAAGTTTTATGATGTTTGTTACAATGGCATTTTAATTGTTTCTAATTTATTTTGCAGAAACAGTAGTGTATTTTTACTGTTAAAACTCTGCCAAGGCTGCTGCCTTTTCTGAGTGACTGTATTTGATGAATACAAAATGATTTCAATTTTAATAACCAAATGAGAATGCCCCACCCAGCTACTAAGATTATACTTCACATCGTCTTTAAATCGAACTGTTTTAACTGGGTGAGATGAAAGGTTATATCTCAATTTGTGTGAAAAGATTCGAGTTGACTCATTTAAGCATTTTGGTGAGAATAGTCCCAGATTTCGGAGAATAAGAACCTAATCTGACTGTGCTCTTTAAACGATTCTCTTGCTGCTTTTTGGTTGGCATTTGCTGCACAGATGCTCTTGCCCACGTGGGGCAGTTGATGCTGGGCATGCCTTGTGTTGTTTTTTAGCCTTGCTCTTTGCTCCTACAGCCTGGTTGATAGATAGTTTGAAGAAAACCCTGCCGTAGCTACATACTCATTTTGTCTAGCTGTCCTTTTGACAAGGTATTTTCCTCAACATTCTGTGTCTAAACTGGCTCTTCAGTCCTTCTGTGCAGGTCTTTTCTGCTTCAGCTTACTGTATAGGGATTTCATAATTTTCTGCGTATTTTTTCCAGTAAATATTTGTTAAATTAATGAAGTAATAACTTGACAGATGGCAGTAAAATAATAAAGGCAAGGTCGCAGGCCTGTGAACAACTTCAGACTTACCTTGGCCTCTTGTTTCTCTTTTTGATAGTTCTTTCTATGAGGGAGCATCATAAAGTCCGTTGAAAAATTTCACCAGCTCTTAATTCCATTTTTCCACAAACTTTTCGAAGCTCCTCATATTTAATCTGTAAGTCAGAAAGTAGGCTTGGAAGGTATGTGGAGGAAGAGCAAATTCATTGAATCAAAGCGTATATGAGTGTGTGTGTGTATTTACAAGTCTATAATTGGATATTGTTGAAAAACTACTCTGTACAAGGTCTGTGGAATTCAATGATGAGAGAAACCAAGGTCTTTCCATGAACGTAGAATCTAGACTCGCACTGTCCAGTATAACTCTAATTCAAGAGACGTGTATAGTTCAATTTTCTAGTAGTTTCATTCACATAAAAGGTTATAAAGTAGATTTTAATAGTATATTTTATTTAACCTAGTTTAACTAAATAATTTATTTGTTATATCAGTGGATCTTGACTGAAAGCAGATAATACCAGAAAGATGTTTACTTATGTTGTTTTGAATATGCAAAGGCATTTCCCTAGGTGGATCATAACACACCATGGATAACATTGCAAAGAATGGGAATTCCAGAACACTTAATTGTGCTTGTGAGGAATATTTACATAAACCAAGAGGAGCTCATTCAAACAAGGGGGTACTGAATGTTTTTAAATCAGGAATGGTGTGTATCAGGGCTGCATCCTTTCACCATACGTATTCAAGCTGTATGTAGAACAAATAATCTGAGAAGCTGGAGATATGAAGAAGACCTTCCTAAAAGTAAAGAGCACTTGAAGCTCTTATGAATGAAGATCAAAGACAGCCTTCAGTATTAATGACAACTCAGTGTAAAGAAAACAAAGGTCCTCGTGATAAATGGAGAAAAGACTGAAGTTGCCAGAGATTTCATTTTACTCGCATCCACAGTTAACACTCATGGAAGCAGCAGTCATGAAGTCAAATCACGTATACTGCATTGGGCAAGTCTGCTACAAACTACCTTTCTAAAGTGTTTAAGAGCAAAGTTGTCACTTTGAGGACTACAGTTCTCTTGACCCAAGCCCTGGTATCTTCAATCAACTCATAGGCATGTGAAAGCTGAACAGTGGATAAGGATGAGTAGAGAAGCACTGATGTACTTGAATTATGATGTTGGCAAAGGACATTAGAATAACCACAGATTACCAGAAGGACAAACAAATCTGTTTTGGAAGAACTAAAGCCAGAATGTACCTTAGAAGAGAGGATGACTAGAGTTTGTCTCACATACACTGGACATGTTATCAGGAGGGACTAGTCCCTGAAGAAGGTAACATAGAAGATCAGTGAACAAGAGGAAGACCTTCAGTGAGATGGACTGACACCGTGGCCGCAACGATGGGTTCAAACATGACCACTGTGAGGATGACTCAGGACTAAGCAGTGTTTTGTTCTGTTGGACTTGGAGTCCCGGTGAATTGGAACCTACTTGATAGCACCTAACAATAATATATGCACAATGTTCTCATTTTAATATGTAATCAATATAACAATATTAGTGAGATGCAGTTCATAATTGTTTGGTACTAAATCTTTGAAATTTGGTATGCATTTGACATAACTCACTTCAGACTAGCCATTAATGAGTGTTCATTAATTACTACCCTATTCAGCAGTACAGATTCTGTACAGCTATGGACATCCATAAATGTGTATAAAAAGAGTGATACTAATTATAAACAAAGAGCGATGAGAAGGAAGAACTACATTGGGTTGGGGTGAGATGTTACAGTGACCTTAGTGAAGTCTTTTAGGAAAGTGCCATTGGATCTCAGTCCTGAAGGACAAATACAGGAGAGAAGGTAGAAAAGACATTTCAGCCATAAACAGAATTATGAGTGAGCTTTAAAAAGTTCATGAAAAAAATGGAATTTCTCCATGAACTTTTTAAAGTCCCCCCCCCACCCCCCATTGTATACACTGAGAAGCTCTGGTAGTGTAGTGGTTATTAGTCAGGCTGCTAATCTCATGGTCAGCAGTTCGAAACTACCAGTGGTTCCATGGGAGAAAGATGAGCCTTTCTGCTTCTGTAAAGATTTACAGCCTCGGAAACCCTATGCAGGGTCACTATGAATCAGAACTGACTCCATCCATGGCACACCACCACCACCACCATATAAACTGAAGTGACCATAGTGTGGGTAAGTGACTAGAAACCTAGAGTATACAAACTCACCGTTTCTGAAATCTTTAATGAAGTCACAATTTTTACTAAGCATGATCACAATTTGCAGTCTGAGGTTAATGAAATGATTGGAACTTCTAGCTATAGGGAAATGTGTTCAGAGAAAGAACACATCAGTTCAAACTTCCCTAATCATCTTTTTAAAGAGCATTGGGTCAACAAAGTCCTTTCCCTAAATTAGCCTCTGGTAGTGTAGTGGTTACAAATTGGCCTGTGAACCTTAAGGGCAGCAGTTTGAAACTACCAGCTCTTCCGTGGTAGAAAGATAAGGCTTTTGCTCCCATAAAGATTTACAGCCTTAGAAACCATGCACAGGGTCGCTATGAGTCGGAACCGACTCCATGGCACACCACTACCACCTCCAAGTATTAAGGAGGTCCACAAAAATAGTCTCTTTACCATGTTTCTTGTAGGGGCATCTTATATTTTATATTCATTTTATTATAGAACAATTTAAAATTATTACAGAGTTATGGATTTTTGCCCTTATGTCATGTGAGTATTCATAATAACTTCTTTAATACTGAGTTCTTACTCAGTAACCTTATCTACAATTGCAAAATCATTTTTGTACAAAACCAGAAAATGCTGCTTCATGACATTTCCAAGCTAATATAATATGTGATGAACATTAATTAAGAACAACCTTTATATATATGTAATAATATGTGTTGATTGGGAATGGATCAAATAGCATCCTTTTATTCGGATTGTACAACTGGGCCATTAGATAGAATGTGGTAAAGTCCTTGGGACAGCCAAACTCATCTCCCTGCAGTCAGAGCCTACATCTACGGTACTCTCTGTGAGCATGCTAAATAAAACATAGAATCCTTTCTGTGCCTGATACTCAACAAAGATTACTATTCCAATGCATGTTGTGGTTACAGTGTGGTTAAAGTCATACTGTGATTCCAGCAGTGCTTGACAGGCATTGCTCAACAGCCAATTTGGAAGGATTCTAGCTAGAATCTTTTTTGACATAGGAATTGAGGAAAGTTGCTGTTAAATTTCTTGTTTTCTTAAAGAAAAATTTATCTCCAGTAATCTATGTTTTAGAATGAACATTTGTTGTGACATTTAAAGATCTTCCTAGGGCTACTGCACTAACAAGACTGTCCACTTAGTCCCTGGAGGCATGTCTGAGTTGAGTATAAAGACTAGCTCTAAAGAGGTTTCTGGTATATCAGTTTGGTACTTTCATTCATTGTAATAAAAACATACCCCTAACAACATAACTAAGGAGCTCTGGTAGCATAGTGGTTACGAATTGGGCTGCGAACCTTAAGGTCAGCGGTTCAAAACTACCAGCCGCTCCGCGGGAGAAAGATGAGGCTTTCTACTCCCGTAAAGATTTACACCCTTGGAAACCCTGTACAGGGTCGCTATGGGTCAGAACCGACTCGACGGCACTTAACAACAACAACAACAACAACATAACTATGAAAGAAGCACAGTATAAACTTAAAAAGTTTTATGGATAGCATAAACTTAAAAAGTGGAGGCCGTTCTTGTGTGTCAGCCGAACCCTTAAAAATCTCATGAGCACTCCCAAATCTGGAGAGAAGCTAAATAAACGAGTTAGGTATTCCTAGCTTCTCTCTCCTTTTACTGGGCTCGTAGAAATGACTTCTGGGAAAAGATGGAAATGAGAAGGGGAAAGTCAGCAACTAGAGTTGTCTGCCCTCTGAAAACAGTGAGGACTGCTGCTCAACCCTGAGTTGAGAGAATGATCCAAAGCCTTGGGGTTCTGTCACCCTCCATGGGAAAAAGATACACATCCCTTTTCTATCCCAATGATTGGAGTCCCTGGGTGACACAAATGATTAAGTGCTGGACTACTAGCCAAAAGGCTGGTCGTTTGAACCCAATCACAGATGCCTCGGAAGACAGGCCTGGTGATATGTTTCAAAAGTCACAGCCTTGAAAACCCCTCGGAGCAGTTCAAGTCTGCCACATGGGGTCACATGAGGCAGAACTGATGCCACGACAGCTAGCAACAACCACAGCTCAATGAATAAGTTGAACTTTGATAGAGAATATATTTTAAACAGAGCAGAAGAGAGCTCAGAGCCCAGGTCTGTACATGAATGAAAAATAAATCAAGTAACAAGAATCTTTATAATCCTTAAGCGAATAAAGAACTCATGAAAATAGAAAAGGAAAGCCCTTAGATGGTGGTGGTGGTTGTGTGCCACCGAGTCAGTTCTGATTCATAGTGGTCTTGGGTAGGGTTTCTGAGGCTGTACATCTTTACAGGAGCAGAATGCCTCATCTTTCTCCCGAGGATCGGCTGGTAAATTCAAACTTCTGACCTTGAGGTTAGCAACCTCACTCGTAATCCAGAGCTCCTTTAAATGAATAAATAACTCATGAAAATAGAAAAGGAAAGCATTTAGATTGCAAGACGGAAATGTATAAAGTTATATAAACAGAAATCAGACTAGATGGACAAACAAATGGAGCAATGAAGATATGTGAGAGATTTCACTCTGGTGGCAATAAAAGAAATGCAAATCAAATCAAGTGTTAGAGCTCCCCATCAAATGTATTGATTATTTAAAGATAACTACTGTTATTGAAGGAGCTCTGGTAGCATAGTGGTTACGAGTCAGGCTGCTAACTTGAAGGTCAGCAGTTTGAAACTACCAGCCGTTTCACGAAAGAATGATAAGGCTTTATGTTCCCGTAAGGTTTACAGTCGCCGAAACCCTATACACGGTCGCTATGAGTCAGAACCAACTCCACGACACACTACCACCACCACTGTTATTGATGGTGAAAAGAGTTGGACAGACCCTTGCACTAGTTGACAGTATAAATTTGTACAGCCTCTGTGGAAAGAAATTTACCCAAAGTCTATCATCAATCTTAAAATGTGTATCTATTGAATACAATGAATATCTGAATCTATACTGACTAGAGTGAATAAATACAGAAACCGGACAAATGTTAAACTTAGCTGTTGCTGAGTACAGCCGAGTTGGTCAGATTCAGAGTGACCCTATGCACAACAGAAGGAAACACTGCCCGCCCTGCTTCAGCCTCACAATTGTTACGTTTGAGCCCACTGTTGCAGCTACTGCAGTAATCCATCTCATTGAGGGTCTTCTTCTTTTCCTCTGACCCTCTACTTCACCAAGCATGATGTGCTTTTCCAGGGACTGATCCTTCTTTTCTTTTTTTAAAATGTTTTATTGTGAATATGTGATAGTTTACATGGGAGAACATTAGTTTTACATTCATCCTATCGTATATCATTTCATTGCCATGGTTACAATCCCCTCCATGCATCATCAACCAACCAAAGGGTATACCCTACAAGACTGCCCCCGGTCATCAGCACACAGCCCCTCTCCTTCTCTGTGTCTAAAGTCTACAGCTGCTCCATCTCTCCACGTCATCGTCCCTGCTTCCATCTCAGGCATCACTGCTTCTCTGGGTAGGGTCCCGCTCTTCACTGTTCTCCCTTGATGGTCCCAGGGACCTCTGCTCCCAGACTGCAAAGTTAATCACTCCCCTCCTTGCTACAAAATGTCTACCTTTACATTTCCAGCTCTCACAATCAGTCCTGATAACAATTATTCACTATTGTATCACAAGAGACCTATCTGCATTTCCTTTCATCAACCCCGCCTAGACAGATTGGATACTACTCAGTGGAGATTTTACCTTCCTCCATGCCCTCCAGATCTAGGTTCTGTCTTGAAAGCTTGTAAGCCAGTCACTTCTTGCCTTTGTAGCCCCCCATTTTGGATAGTCAATGTCCAAGTTGCCCATCCCTGTCTACTCTGTATATGGAGGGGGAGGGAATGATCCTTGCTGTAAAGATTTGTTCCCTCTTTTGAACTACTGCATCCATAGGTGTAGGTCAAGTTCATCAAATTATATCAGATTACTCTTTTTTCTCCCTCTTCTTTCTTCTTCTAGTTGAGCTCAGGTCATCCAGTCATTGAAGCCATCCTTCTTAAACTTAGTGCTACTGCTGCATTCTGTCGGGTCGGTTCCGACTCATAGTGGCCCTGTGTAAGCTCTCTGAGGCTGGGAATCTTTATGAGAGCAGTGATAGTGTATTAAGAAATAGGATATCTGTATAGTCTCGAAGAATCTCTTCATTAGATACTTATGACTAAGTGATAACTTTGTTGTGGAGAAACCTGGCTGACTGACAGTACTGTAACCAATTGGTTTAGGCATCATCAATGATGAGCTATGACCACATCACGTGTCTCCAGATGTGATGTACCAGGGCATATCACTTCTGTGACATTCATTCATGCTAAAGGTGCATGAGTTTAATAATGAGTAACATTAGCAAAACCCAAACTGAGAGATATCCTTAAAAATTACTGACTGGTACTCTTCAAAAATGTCACAAGTTTCTAAGACAAAACAAGCCAACAAAAGCATACTGAAGTTTTGTAACATACAGGGAGGAGTAGTTAATCTTACATTCCAGAAACAGAGGACCCTAAGACTATCAAGAGAGAAGAGCATGAGCGGAATGTGGGACACTATCCAGAGAAGCAGCAACACCAAAAATGGAGGCAAAGATGAAGACATGGAGAGATAGAGCAGCTGAGGACTCTAGACTCATGGAAAGAGAAAGGATGTGTGCTCGTGGCCAGGAGGCAGGCTTGCAGGATGTGCCCTTTGGTTGTTTAGATGATTATATAGTCTGAGTGTTTTTGTATACATCAAAACAAAACAAAAAAACATACTGAGGGGCAGTGCAAGATATGAGGAGACTGGAAGGATCTAACAACTGAATGCAATATGTGCTCATAGATTAGATCCTGGGCCAGAAGGACAACAGCCAGAAACTGGAGACATTTGTGTAAGGTTTGTAGATTAGTTCAATAGCATTGTATCAGTGTTACTTTCCTGGTTCTGATCATAGTGCTGTGGTTGTATTTGGAGAAGGTGGGTGAAGGATATATGAACATTTTTGTACTGTTTTTGCAATGCCTTTGTAAATGTGAATATGTTTCAAAATGAATGGTTAAAGAAATTTCACAAGCCTGAATAACTTTAAACTTTTTGCTCTACAGATTACAACAAGTAGCTCAGAAAAACCATCTAATCAATTATGGCCTGACTCTTCCACTTCTGACATGATGGGCAAAGATGATATTTTGCAGCTTAAGAAGGAAATTCAGGTCTTACAACAACAAAATCAGGTGATTAATTTTTATCCCGATATTTTATGAGCATGTTCATGGCTTCTTAAAATACAAAATACATAATAGACCTTTTGAAGACAAAGAGGCAGTGTGAGTTAATAGCACGTTTATTACTAGGTAATCATGGGTGCTGGTTCCTTCCCTTTACTTATGGTCACTGGACAGTAGTCTCAGCCGCAGGTCAGTCTGTGTGATTCCAGTTTCCTGGCTGTATAGTCAAAGCCAGACTTTGACCCAAAAGTAAAACTTAACCTATTTAGATCATTGCTGAAGATGATTGAATTCCAAGACTTACGTTAAGGCATTATTTAGCCAATACTTCCGTGGTTGAATGAGCTCTGGTAGCGTAGTGGTTACAAACTGGGCTGCGAACCTTAAAGTCAGCTGTTCCGTGGGAGGAAGATGAGGCTTTCTGCTTCCGTAAATATTTAACAGCCTTGGAAACCCTGCATAGGGTCGCTATGAGTCGGTTCCGACTCCATGGCACATAACCACAACTACCACTTCTATGGTTGAATGTTTTTATTTAATATATTTCAAAATAAATACAAAATTTTAACTGATACTCCTATCAGAAAGTTACCTATCAGAGATTAAGAACCTATAATCTTCAAAACATGAAGAAAATGTTTTCTTTTATAGAAGTATGATAATATTACGTGAACTAATGTTATATGGCAAGGAGCTATGGTAGCATAGTGGTTACGAATTGTGCTGCTATCTTCAGGGTTAGCAGTTCAAAACTACCAGCAGTTACGCGGGAGAAAGATGAGGCTTTCTGCTCCCGTGAAGATTTACAGCCTCGGAAATCCTATACAGGGCCGCTATGAGTCAGTTCCAACTCCACGGCACATAACAACAACAACAACAATGTTATATGGCAGAGGATTAAAAGAAGAGATAACATTAATCAGTGACCATGGTGTGGCGCTGTGGGATAAAGTGCTGGACTGCAAGATGGGTGTGAACTGCAAGGTTGGCAGTTCAAGCCCACCAGCCACTCCAGGACCATGGTGTGTGGCACTGTGGGATGATAATGTGCTGGACTGCAGGGTGGATTTGAACCGCAAGGTTGGTGATTCAAACTTACCAGCCACTCCTTGGAAACCCTATACAGGGTTGATATGAGTCAGAACTGACTTAACAGCAGTTAACAACAACAGCAATGATAGTTTTATTTTCTCTAAATGCTTTGTTCTTTTGTATCTAGGAACTTAAAGAAACTGATGAAAAACTGAGAAATACAAATCAAGACTTATGTAATCAAATGAGGCAAATGGTACAAGATTTTGACCGTGATAAACAAGAAGCTGTGGATAGGTAAAGTCTCTAAAGAGGCTGAATACCTGCCTCCCTGCCTCCTTTCCCTCCTCTTTGCCATTGGAAGATTCAAGAGCAATGGAGAAGATGGAATCCCTAGGCTTTTCAAATTAGAATTTGGAACAGATTTTCCATAGAGACTATTATATAGCGGGTTGAGTTCTATAGCATCATTGGAACTATAGTTCACAGAAACATAGCTTGGTTTTGTTTGGTTTTTTAAGAGTCGTCTGAGAGTCAAATTATTCTTTATAAAGAAGAGAACTGGGAGGGATGATGTTTTCCCAGTACCAAATCATAAACTTGAAAGCAAACCTTTGGAGCATAACTTACTTGTGAGTAGGTTACAACTAATACTTTTGCTTAGTATCTAGAGGACTTCGAATTTGGGAACCACATCCTTGATTATTTCAGCTAATTTTTTATCAACAGAAGTTTTCATTACAACTGTTATTTCTGTTTGAAGAACTGGGCGTTCTCCCATCTGCATTTCCGATTATTCTCTGGAAACATCTGGAGGGAAATTTCAAAAATTCTCCTAAGCCTGTCTGTTGTAAATGAATAATTACCGCTGTTGATTGGAGAAAAACCAGCCTGATTTTAATTAGTTCGCATTAGAGGAAACAGATGGGAGGGCAGGAAGAAAGGAAGGAAAATCAGCTCATTTTGGTGTTTCTAGTAGTGGTGGGCATTGCCTTGATTCTGCTTTCTCTCTAGGTGTGAGAGGACTTATCAGCAGCATCATGAAGCTATGAAAACCCAAATACGGGAGAGCCTATTAGCAAAGCATGCCTTGGAGAAGCAGCAGCTCTTTGAGGTTTATGAGGGGACTCGTTTGCAACTTAGGTGAGAGTCAAAGAGTAAAACCTGCCTTCCTTTTAACTACAAGCACTGCCTTTTCCTATTCTGTCAGTTGGAGGAACGTTGTTTATTGTGCATCCCTTGTCTTTTTTGTGGTTATTAAATTTCTGGTTTTGCATATCCGAGGTCTGACTTAGACAAAATGAATAAAGAGATGGCTGCTGTGCAGGAATGTTACCTGGCAGTGTGCAGAGAGAAAGATAATCTTGAACTGAATCTCAGGAAGACCATTGAGAAGAAGGAGCAGCAGTCTCAGGAGGCGAAGGTACAGTCGAAATGTCCTTTTCTCAGGCGTCAGAAGTATCATTTAAACCTGTGAACTTGTTCTCTTGTGAAATGGGGGAGCTGTACTTAGAAGTCTCTTTCCTTTTGACTATCACATAAATAAGGCAGTGGTAGTTGTATGCTATGGAGTCGGTTCCGATTCATAGCGACTCCATATAGGATTTCCAAGGCTGTAAATCTTTATGGAAGCAGAAGGCTTCATGTTTCTCCTATGGAACAGCAGGTAGATTTGAACTACCATCCTTGCAGTTAGCAGCCCAATTCGTAATACTACCTTACCAGGGCTCCTTTGCATTATATTGTTCATAAAATATAGTAAAAATATTGAAATGATTAGTAAACCTTAGTAGAAAAGGAATACAAGGGTAAGTCAAGAATTGCTACAAATCCTAGAAAATATCAAAATTATTTAATAAAATTAATCAAAATGTGAAACTTGTTTTTCTGTGCATCCTTCATCTAGGTTTACACATTTCTGAAGCTGGTGTTTCCATCCCTTTAACTCTTCCCTGAAGAATTCTGTGCTCTTCAATTTATACCACATCAAAATGGCAATTTGGGCACCCTCCAGGGACTCAAACTGTGTGTGTGTGTGTTTGATTTCTTTGAGTTTGGGAAAAAAAAAAAAAGAGGCAATATCAGGGCTATAGGGTGGTTGGGCTAAGTTTCCCAGTGAAATTTTGGTAGGACAACCGTTGTTACCCTTGAAGATTGAGCAGGCGGATTGTTATGATGGGAAAACATTCTTCAGTGCAACTTTCTTGGCCTTTGTCTCATCAATGCAAATTTCAATGTTCTGAAAACATCTTCCTAATAAGCCCCATGTGTCATTCTGTGTCCTTCAGGAAAATCTGTCAAGGTTGCCCTTAGGAATCCCAATAAAACCTTCTGAGCTAATCTCTTGCTTTGAATTTAACTAGCCCAGCAGATCCCCTCAAAAGTCACTGTTTTGATTGGATCTTTATTTTTTGAAGGCGCCCTAATAACATTAAGATAAGTGTGCTATTTGTTTGCAGCCATCCACTGATCACAGAGACATCTTTATTTATTTTTTTAAATGTTTTATTGTGAATTATGTGATAGTTTACATGGAAGAACATTAGTTTTACATTCATACTATCGTATATCATTTCTTTATCATGGTTACAATCCCCTCCATGCATCATCAACCAACCAAAGGGTATACCCTGCAAACCTGCCCCCCCCACCCTGGTCTTCAACACACAGTCGCTCGCCCTCTCTGGATCTAAAGTCCTCAGCTGCTTCATCTCTCCACGTCATCGTCTCTGCCTCCATCTCAGGCATCACTGCTCACAGAGACATCTTTAAACAAGGCTTGTTTGTAATAAATCTGTGCATGTTGGAACTGGGACCCTTGTAGCAATACTTCTGGACTTACTGTCATATATATATATGAGAGGACTCTAGAAAGTTAGTGGAAAAATGGATTAAAAGATCATGGAATTTGTCCAGGAACTTTTTGAAGCTCCCTTATATGTGTATGTATGTATACAAACATATATTATTATTAAGTGTCAGCAAGTCAGCTTTGACTCAAGCGATCCTATATAGGATTTCTGTGGAGCAGTTGGTGGGTTTGAACTGTCGACCTTGTGGTTCGCAGTCCAGTGCTGATCCTATTGCACCACACCAGGAGTTCATATGTATACATGAATATGTGTGCATGTGATATATACATGTGTTTGTATGGAGTCGATGCCGAGTCAGGGCAACCCATGTGTCTCAGAGTAGAACTGTGCTCCATAGGGTCTTCAGTGGCTCATTGTTTTCCAGAAGTAGAAGGTAAGGTCTTTCGTTCAGGGTGCCTTGGAACCTCCAACATTTTGGTTAGCAGCTGAGCACATTACCCTTCAGTATTGAAAGCCAAGGCCTGAATTTTTTCCTCAGTTCTTTCAACTTGGTAAATGCTGAGTGTGTTCTTCTCTTTTAGTCTTCTACCTCCAGGTCTTTGCACATTTCATTAAAATACTCAACTTTGTCTTCTCGAGTTGCCCTTTGAAATTTTCTGTTCAGCTCTTTTACTTCCTTATTTCTTTCAGTGGCTTTAGTTTCTCTATGCTCAAGAGCAAGTGTCAGTCGCTTCTGACATTCATTTGATCTTTTCTTTCTTTTTAATAACATTTTGCTTTCTTTCTGTTTTTTTTTTTTTTAAGGTTTTTATTGTGAATTGAGTGAAAGTTTACAGGGCACATCATCAGTTTCACATTCAACCATTCTGTATGATGTTTTTGATGTCATCCAGTGAGATCTATATGTATAGTCACTGTTTATATTATTAAGGAAAATATATTTCCAATTAGTAAGTCATTGGTCTTGTAAAATTCTATCATACAATCTCCCATGTTTTTATCATGAAGGCCACAATTTTTCTATTATTGATCCTTTTTCTGTTTTCCAACTTTCACATTCCAATTACCATTAATTATCAATGTTCAGTTTCAGATTGCAGATGTTGGTAAAAATTCTCAGTGTCTTTATCTTTGGCATTACTGGTTGGTGTGTCAAATTTAAGAATGATTGTATGAACTGGTCTTCCATGTTGTGTGTACCTTCAGGTTGGTTCGAATTGGTTCCAACTAATAGTGACCAACTGTAGGTTCCAATTATAGGGTTTCTGAGATTGTAAATCTCTATGGGAGCAGAAAGCCTCATCTTTTTCCTGTGGAGTGACTGGTGGATTTGATCCATTGACCCTATGGTTAACAGCCCAATGTGTAATCCTCTACACTACCAGGACTTGGTCTTCCTTGTAGGTGTATGGATATTATTCTATTACTGACAGTGTTATGCTTCCAGATAAATCTTGAAATGTTCTTTTTGATGATGAATAAGACATTCTTCTTTAATTTGCCATTTCCAATATAGTAGACCCTGTAATTGTCAATATCAGTCAGCTTCCTAATGCCTATAATATTTATAGTCAAGTGTTTCGTTTCATTTTGACAACCTCCAGTTTTCTTCGATTCATACTTTGTACATTCTGTGTTCTGATTACTAATACATGTTTACAGCTGCTCTTCTCATTTTGAGTCCATTCACATCAGCAAATGAAGGCCCTGAAAGCTTTGCTCCATCCACGTCATTAATGTCAACTCTACTTTGGGGAGAAGCTCTGGTTACGAATCAGGCTGCGAACCTTAAGGTCAGCGGTTCGAAACTACCCGCCGCTCTGCGGGAGACAGATGAGGCTTTCCACTCCCATAAAGATTTACACCCTCAGAAACCCTGTACAGGGTCGCTATGGGTTGGAACCAACTTGACAGCACTTAACAACAACAACAACTACTACTTTGGGGAGGCCGCTTGCATGTGATATTAATAATATCATATTTGAGTGCCTTCCACCCTGAGTAACTTACCTTCTGGCACTGTATCAGTTGATGTTCTGCTACTATCCATACTCTTTTCACTGGCCAGTATTTTCAATAGATCACCAGGTGTCTGTTCTCTCTGGAAACTCCCTTGAAGTCTGTTCAACATGGATGGCCCTGTTGGTATTTGAAACAGAGCGGGGCACAGCTTCCTGCATCACAGCAACATGCAAGCCACCACACTATGACAGACTGACAGATGAGTGGTGGATATTTTTTTGTTACTTTAAAAAAAGAAAAAGAATTTTACTAAAAAACTGGGTCTTCCATAATAAGTGAGTTGCCCTTAATAGCTACCACTGATATTTTGACTCTTGAGTATGTATGCATAGGTATAATTAGAAAAGTTGAAACTGCTATTTGGCCCTTAAAATTTTTTTCTTTAAAATTTAAAAACTGAGTAAAACTTAAAAAACTCTTTTGTGGCATCCCTATGTGGTTGTATCCACTTCTTCATCCCTAATAGCTGGCAGCCACTTGTCTGCTGTTACTATGTTTTGTCTTTTTCATGATGCCATATAAATGGAATCATTCAGTACATGCATTTTCTAGACTAGCTCCTCTTACCTCAGCTTATTAACTTTGAGTCATTTTTTTTTTTTTTTTTACATGTATTAAGAGTTTGTCCTTTGCTAACTAGTAGTCCAGTGTATGGATATACTATAATTTACCTATCTATTTACTCATGACATTTGAGTTGTTTCCAGTTTGTGGTGGTTATCAATGTTGTTGTTAGCTGTCATGGAATTGGCTCCAAGTTATGATAATCTTAACTTTAGCAGAACAAGATGGCGCCTAGTCCTATACTATCTTCATACCCACTGGTATGTTTGAATGCATTGCTGTGGCCACTCTGTCATTCCATAACACTGAATTTTTCAGTAGCTTTTACTGACCTTCGACTTTACCAAACATAACATCCTTTTCTAGTAAGTGGTCATTCCTAATGATTTGTCCATAGTAAGGGAGGTGAAGTCTCCCCATCCTTGTTCTATGGAGCATTCTGGTTTTATATTTTTTCTAAAACTAATTTGTTCCTCCTTTTGCTAGTCCACAATGGATTCAGTGTCCTTCACCAACACCGTAATTCAAATGCACCAATTCTTCTGTCTTCCTTTTTCGTTGTCTAGCTTTTGTTGACTGAAAAGACAATGGCTTGGAATCAGGTGCACCTTAGTCTTAAAGTAACATCTTAGCTTTTTAAAACATTGAAGTACTTTTTTTCTGCAGCTTCTATAAACAGGATTTTTCAGTAACAAAAGTCTAGAGTAAATATTTAGGAGAGTGATTGCTGGGTTGTGCTCAACTGTATGAGAAACTGCAAAGGAGGTGGATGGTGTGAGTAGTTTGCAGTGAGCAACTAAAGATTGACAGGTCAAGCCCACCCAGCGTCCGATTGAGGAAACGCCTGGAGACCTGCGTCTGTCAAGTGAACAGCCAAGAAAACCCTGTGGAGCATTTCTACTTTGTGACAAATGGGGCTGACATGTGTCAAGGGCTGACTTCATGACAGTTAACAGCAAACAGCATCAGAAACTGCAAAGCCGTTTTCTAGAGTGACTGTCCCAGTTTGCATTCTCACCAGTAGTGGATGAAAGTTTCGTTTTCTCTACATCCTCACCAGAACGTGACAATGTCAATATTTGTTTTGATTTTTTATTTTAGACAATCTAGACAGTTCTAGTGTGGCACTGTATGATAAGCTCTGGCCTGCTAGCCTAAAGCTTGGCAGCTCAAATCCACCAGCCACTCCTTGATAGCCCTATACAGAGTTGAAATCAGCTCAACCTCACTTAACAATAGGTATATAGTGGTATTTTATTGCATTTTAATTTGCCTTTCCCTATGACTGTGATTTTGAATATTTTTTCGTGTGTTTATCTGCCTTAAATCTTTGATGGTATTCAAGTCTTTTCCCATTTTAAAATTTGGTTATTATCTTATAATTAAAATTTGAGAAATTTGTATGTATCCTGGTACAACTCCTTTGTCAGAGGAAAACCAGTCAGACAGCCATGAACCAGAAATCATGCCAGAACAGAGCCAACATCCTGTTTCTGCCCGGCGCTGTGTGAGGCAGACTTCTCACAGAATAGCTTCATTGGCCTCAGTGGGTGACTCCTCATCACCTCGAAAACTATTGAAGCAAAACAATAGAAAAACAAATTCTCATAGATAATCTGATATCACTTAGTGAAGTTTTATTTATTTACATTGATGGAACATAATGAAAGGGATTCCATTTGACATGAACTGGGTTCCTAGAAGAAAGAAGGTGATTTGATTACTTCAAACAATTAGATTTCAAATCGACACTTGACACCTCTGGTTGGGAAACACTTTAGTTTTGATAAATTGTTTTCTTCAAATGTGTTAATACAAGAAAGCATCCTATGTATCACAGGATGTGTAGTGTTAGAATGGAGCAATAATTCCTGCCTGATCTCAATAAGAGGTTCTTAGAGATGTAAGTCTTTTTTGGGGATAGCATACCTGAGTGAGCCCAGGATAGGCAGAGTCTAAGCTATGCAAGGAACAAAAAACATCAGTTTCCTTTGTTAAAGAATATTTGGTCTCCGGGGAGTGCATTTATCCTATTACATTCTTTTTAGTATAGCTCTCAACTCAACGCCATCGAGTCAATTCCAACTCATAGTGACCCTATATAGGGTTTCAGAGGTTGTAAATCTTTTCAGGAGTGGAAAACCTCATCTTTCTCATGCGAAAACACTGGTGGACCTGAACTGCTGGCCTTGTGATTAGCAGTTTAGTGTTTATCCTAGAGCACCATCTGGGCTCCCTTTTTAGTATCTGTTGTTAAAGTGCTGTCGAGTCAGTTCCGACTCATAGTGACACTGTCTAAGGTTTCTTTCGAGCAGCTGGTGCGTTTGACCATCCGACCTTGTGATTCACAGTCCAGTGCTGAACTATAGTGCCACCAGCTCTTTACAAAACATTTTAGTCAGTGGATTAGTGGTTAGGAAGATCTCTTGTCTCTGTCTGTTTCTGTTGCTGCTGTGTATCACATGCAGATAATCAGTATTTTGTAAGTTTAACCTGGAGAGTACTAGTGTTACATGGTGATATTTACTTAATTTTTTTTGTGTGGTGTGGTGGTGTGGATGAACTGCTTTGATATGGCTTTTTTTTTTTTTTTTTTTTAATGTTTTATTGTGAATTATGTGATAGTTTACATGGGAGAACATTAGGTTTACATTCATCCTATCATATATTGTTTCACTGCCATGGTTACAATCCCCTCCATGCATCATCAACCAAGCAAAGGGTATACCCTGCAAGCCTGTCCCCTGGTCATCAGCACACAGCCCCTCTCCCTCTCTGGGTCTAGAGTTCCCAGCCACTCCATCTCTCCATGTCATCATCTCTGCCTCTATCACCGGAGTCACTGCTTCTCTGGGTAGGGCCCCACTCTTTGCTCTTCTCCCTCGATGGTCCCAGGGACCTCTGCTCCTAGACGGTAAAGTCAATCACTCCCCTCGTTTTGCTACAAAACGTCTGCCTTTACATTTCCAACCCTCACAGTCAGTCCTGACAACAATTATTCACTTTTGTTTCACAAGAGTCTTATCCCCATTGCCTTTCATCAGTCCCACCCAGAGAGATTGGATACTACTCGGTGGAGATTCTACCTTTCTTCATGCCTTCTAGATCTAAGCTCCCTCTTGAAAGCTTGTAAGCCAGTCACTTCTTGCCTTTGTAGTCCCCCATTTTGGGTAGCCCATGTCCAAGTTGCCCATCCCTATCTACCCTGTGTATGGAGAGGGTGGGAATGATCCTCACTGTAAAGATTTTTTCCCCCTCTTTTGAGCTACTGCATCCATAGATGTAGGTCAAGTTCATCAAATTGTATCAGATTACTGTATTTTTCCTTAATTTTGTTTAAAGAAGCAGTGACTGGCAGAGAGAAAAGAATAAGCCATAAAACTTGAAGGAAAGTAACATGATACCCTTTTTAATTTTTTTCTTTTTTTCATGATACCCTTTTGATGGAAAAGGATAAGTGGCAGAGAACGAGAATCTGATAATAAACTTTTCCACTGATCTAGTGCTGGACCTGAAATTAATTCTTCTTCTTCTCTCTCTTGCTTAGTGCCCTCCTCAACACCCACCTTTTATCCTAAATGGCTTTTCCATTCATCTAGTGCTGGGCCTGAAATTAATTGTCCTTGTTAAGTGCCATTAAATTGGTTCCAACTCATAGCGACCATTTATAGGGTTTATGAGAAGCAGCTGGTTGGTTTGAACTGCCAACCTTTTGGTTAGCAGTCCAATGCTTATCCTACAGTGTCACACCAGTCATTTTAAAATAGAAAAACAATCTGAAGGGTATAAAACTAACTCCCTATTTATGCATTATTAAAAACTGTTTTATTTTTTAATTACATTAGTTAGCCAATGAGTTTCCAAGGGAGTGAAATAGACAGCTAATGTTTTCATGAGTGTGAGAAAAGCAAGAGTTGTTATACAAGAAGCCCATTTCAAGTAAAGCTAACCAGCCAGGGGCACAGGGGGCCAGGGAAGCAGTTTTGAACTCTGAGTACTCAGGTGATAAAAAACAGGAAAAGTTAATTTTGGTTTTGCCCAGTTTTGACGAAGACTGATTCTGTATAGATCTGTCCCAATGAACTGCTGGATGTGGAAAAGAATCAAAAGGTCATTCTTCCAATGATGCTTCCCTCTTTAATGGGCTCCTGGTGTGGTGCTGTAGAATCAACACTGGACTGCAAACCACAGAGTTGGCAGTTCAAACCTACAAGCTGCTCCTCAGAAACCTGATGTAGGGTTGCTATGAGTCAGAACGGACTCAATGGTAATTAACAATAACAGCTTGAATTAAATTTCATACAATACAAGGAGACTTCAGAAAGATTGTGGGAAAATGGAACTAAAAGAGAACAGAATTTTTCCAGGAACTTTTGGAAGGCCCCTCATATACCTTTAGATTGTCCATTCTATTTTAGGTTCATTAATTAGACTTACTGAGTACCTGCATTGTACAAAGCATGGTGTTTATGGTCAAACACATATCAATAGCAAAATAAATAAATACAGCCATGTTTGTGGGGGCAATGCCAGAGCTTCCAGAAGATTGCATCTTGAGAGCAAGATACGCTGACATTATACAACATACTTAAATAGCCCAGTGTCACAGAGAGAAGGTCAGACAGTAATTGAGGTGTTACTTGAGGACACGTTTCCAATGACTACATTTGTAAACCCCATATCATTACTGCAGCAATGTCTAGATGACTTTCTAACTGCTGTGGTTGTTTTACTGGCTAGCTATTAATTCTAGTTTTGATTTAATTGGATTTTTTTTCTTCCTAATTTTTCTTGGAAAACAGATTGAACAAGAACTCACTCAACGGCTTGAAACAGAGTGGCAGTCTAAGTTGGATCAAACCCTAAAGGAAATGAAAAGGAAGACCTCAGATTGTGGTAGCCAAACTGACCCAATGACCACCACTGATGTTCTTCCCGAGAACGTGAAGGCAGCGGCCGGAGAGGATCAGCAGCAGAAGACGCAGCAAGATTCAGAACAGGAGAAGGAAAAAGCTCTCAAGGAGGGCCTGAAAAAACTTGAGATTGAATTGGAACTCAAATATTGTGAAAAAATTTCCAAACAGGTACTGAACAAGTTTATTATGGCAGAGTTACCATAACTGCTTGTCTATTAGTGAGAAACCTTAATGTGTTATTAATTGAATTATTTAGAATGTTAGTAATTAATAAATGTTATTAATGAACTTCCTTTAACTTGTTTATAACGTTTCTACTTTTAAAATGCTGTGCATTTCTAGGGCAGAAAATTTGTTATTCTGTTCTATGCATCTCTCAATTTTCCTATATATTCTTTCAGTTTACAAAAGGTTTGATCCTGTGAGATCACTCAGTGTAGGTATGCGTATGTGTATATATATATTTGTTGTTCTATAGTTAAGTACCGTCGAGTGTGTTCCAACTCATAGCAACCCTGTATAGGGTTTCTGAGGAGGAGCTGAAGAGCTTGAACCACTGACCTTGTTGTTTAAACTGATCTTGCAGTCCAGCACATTACCTGCAGCACCACTATATGTGCATATCATTATTCAATAAGTGATCTTTTGATAACTGGTGTCCAAGCAGATTACATTCATATTCATCAGTTCTTTAATTTATACCTGAATTGATGGATCACCTAATTCTTTAGTCACAGACTCATTCTTGGACAGCAGAAAAATTTTCCATGTGTAAAGCTCCAAGCTATCTCCGTGTGTATGTGTTTGCAAGTGTATAATACAGGATGTGGTTGCTGTTTGAAAATGGAATCTGGCATTATACATCCCACACTAGCTCTTTCTCTTGCAATATTCTCCAGGTAGAAATAGCTGTGCAGAATGCCCGTCTTCGCTGGCTGGAAGAACTGCCTGAGCTTGCAGAATATAAAGCACACGTAAGAGCAGAACAGAAGAAGTGGGAAGAACACCAAGAGATCTCTGTGGCCAAACGGGTAAGTGGCTTCAGGAGGTCGCCTCTCTGACTTCTTCTGTCTTTTCAGTCCTGAAAATTGTGCCACCTCATAGAGTTGTGTGAAAGGATTAAATAAGATAATGTGTGTGTGTGTGTGTGTGTGTGTGTGTGTGTGTGTGTGTGTGAGGCATTAGCTCAGGGCCTGGAAAATTATATGTTTGCTACTTGAATGGAATCATTGTTGTTTTACTGGCCAATCATTGTGGTCCAGTTATCTAGGACATCCTTAAAGCCTGGATGCACAAGTAAGTACGTGTAATGGTATCAAGAATATCTTCAACCAATGAAAACAATACTAGCTTTTTGAATTGTTTGCTAAAAGATTTGAATAAAGTTCTGGAAATGTCCCATATACGGAGATATATCTAAGGGTGCTGCTTTGCTATTTATGAAATTATAGGCCTTCTAAAGACAAGAAATAGCATGATGTAGTGGAATGGAAATGTTCATAATAACTTTTTAAAGGATATAAATGTATATAGGAGAGATAAGTTCTTCAGGGAGAAATAATGTATTTTAGTGTCTTAAAGCTCTCATCATCAGAAAATCCTTTTAACTTATAAACGAACTCTCTCTTTCCTTGTCCTTGGGAGATATTGAGAACAAGTGATTGTTTTCTGTGCTGTGGCAATAGTCTTATAATATATATAAAGTAATCTCCTTGGTAAATAGCCAATTTTCCTTCCAAGAGATGTCATGTTCTTTGACTAGAAAAATCAAAGATGACAGTGTCCATATTTTCCTAACTTAATTTACTGGTTTAAATCAACTTTAGTCAAAATGCCAATAAGTACAACATAGTTTTGATTTTTCACACAATGTCAAAATTGATTTGGAAAAATAAAAATACTAGAAAAAACTTTTAATGTTCTAGAAAACAATTGTCCAGCTTAAACACAGACTATAATGTAAAACAAATCTGAGTGGATTTTACATTCAGTACAGTACAGACTTCAGAGATAGGCCTACCTATCAGTCCAAGCTTAATAAATAATAAATTCTTTCAAAGCATGGGAATTAGGAATGATTCCATAATAGTATTATAATAGCCCAGTAGAGCTTTGGGAAAATTATTTGCTCTACCCTATGCATCATAATAAATTCCAAGTTGATTAAGGCATTAAGTATTTTTAAATGAAAATATAGAAAAAAATAAGAGAAAACTGAAATTTTCAGATCGTTATCATAATAATAGGGTTAGGCATTGGGCTGCTAGCCACAAGGTCAGTTCAAACCCTTAGGTTAGGAGAAAGATGAGACCCTCTGCTCCCAAAAATGATTTACAGTCTGGGAACCCTACGTTAGGGCCACTGTGAGTTACAACAAGCTCAGTGACAGTGGGTTGGTTTTGTTTTTTTGGGATCATGGCATTAACTTGATTTTGAAATAGTGACCTAGTATCAAAGATGAAGTAGTAGGTATGAATGAACAAAGTCTATACCAACATTTAAAACACTTTTGCTTTTGTAATGGAAAATAAAAGTACAAGTAAGGGTATAGTAAAAATTAGGAAAATAAATGACTGAAACATGACATATATTATTAATATTAATGTATTATAAGGAGTCCTGGTGTGGCGCTGTGGGCTAATGTGTCTGACTGCAAAGTCGTTTGAACTGCAAGGTTGTCGGTGGTTCAAGCTCACCAGCTGCTCCTTGGAAACTCTAGACAGGGTCGCTCTAGGTCGGAATTGATTCGACGGCACTTAACAGCAACAACAATGTGTTATAAAGAGCTCATGCAGGTTATAAATAAAGCAAGAATCTATAGATAAGAATATGAAGCGATCATTTGCATAAGAACTCCATGTATGAAAAATATACTTAAGAGTTTGAGATACATATTTAAATAAACTTAAATACTATTTTTGAGTACTGGTGTGGTGCTATAGGATAAGCACAGGACTACTAACCATGAGGTCAGCTGTTCATGCCTACCAGCTGCTCTTTGGAAACGTACACAGGATAGCTATGAGTTGGAACCTACCCAAGCACCTGACAACAGCATGTACTATTTTATGCCTCTGCCATGTGTGTCAATCCTTTCATTTAATTCAAATAGACTTTAATAGATTGTAATGTACACACTACTTCCTGATGGCATGATTATTTTGGAAAATATTGTACTTCATCACAGAATTTATGATTCTTGTATTCATAATCTTACTCCACATATTATTTAAGGAAATAACACACATAAAAATTTATTCTATTTTTTCCCCTTAAGTTATGTGGCCGTATGTGGATGTTCATTACATTAATCTCTCTATTTTGTAGTATTTTGAAATATTTCCAAAAGTAATTTGAACGAAAGAGAAGAAACAAAATGGTGGTGTAAATGAGCTTGGAGCTCAGAAGTGAACTGGAGTTGGGTAGAGTGTAGACAATGAAGTAGGTGAGAGCAGAGAGGTCTGAATGTGTGACAGTGTGGAAATATCCAAGGAGAGGACAATGTTTGTGTTGCTTCGCAAACATTAACAGGTAGTGGAATCACCTGGAGGGTTTCTTAAGCACAGGTTCCTGGACCTTATGCCCGGAAATTCTGATTCTATAGGTCTGTAGTAAGTCTTGAGAGTTTGCATTTCTTACAAGCTCCCATGGTGGCACAATCGACCTGAGGGCAAGCAGGAACAAAAAGGCTAACATCAGTTGGCATTCAGAGCCACATAGCAGCACCTGAGAGGAAAGACCAGGAGATCTGCTTCTGCAAAGGTTATGCAGCAGATCTACTCTGTAACTTAGTTCCTAATGGATAGGAGGCTTCTGGTGTTTGGACCACACTTGAGTATGAGCAGCATTATTCTAGATAATTTTATCAGCCACAAAACATAAGGTTCATATGTTACACTTTCTTCTTCCAAGCTAAAGGAGGTGTGGAAAGGACCAATTCTATAGCATTGACTGGAACTTTATGCAAGATTAGAGTGATGGATCAAGATCTATGGAAATCTAAAGTTAGTTTCTAGAATCCAGAAGTAGTCAAGTTGGTTAAATGGTTCCCAAACTTTGCTGCACACTGGAATAACTTGGCGATCTTAAAAAAAATTCTGTTATCTTTGCCTTGTACTCATTCTTCTGTTTTAATTGATCTGGGGTGCAACCTGGACATCAGGGCTCTTTTAAAGCTCTTCAAGTGATTCTAATGTGCAGCAAAATTTGGAAACCACTGTGCTGGTTAATGCTGCCAAATTGCCCATGTAAAACTTCACTTACTGTAATGTTGAGCAGTTCATTAAAACTCCACGGTAGCCACCACTCCCATCCAGATCACCTGGTAATGATTTCCAGGCTTTTATTGTCCTGGTGTAAGGAGCTCTGGTAGCGTAGTGGTTATGAATCAGGCTGTGAACCACAAGGTCACCAGTTCGAAACTACCAACTGTTCCGTGGGAGAAAGATGAGGCTTTCTGCTCACATAAAGATTTACAGCCTTGGAAACCCTGTACAGGGTCGCTGTGAGTTGGAACTGACTCCACGGCACATAACAACAACAACATTATCCTGGTGTGGTGCTGTGGGTTAATGCGCTGGACTGCAAAGTCAGTTTGAACTGCAAGGTCGGTGGTTCAAACTCACCAGCCACTCCTCTGAAAACCTATAGAGGGTCACTATGGGTTGGAACTGACTCAATGGCACTTAGCATCAGCGGCATTGTCCTGGTGGGTTAATGTATTAGACTGCAAAGTTGAATTGAACTGCAGTGTTAGCAGTTCAAGTTCACCAGCCGCTCCTTGGAAACCCTATAGAGGTTCGCTATGAGTGAGAACCAACTCGACAGCACTTAACAATGTTATTCTCTGCAACCTACTCGTCTGCTATTCTGCTATAAAAGGACATTAGATTAATGGAAAAAAAATGACATTCTGTTTGGTGTTGTCATTTAATGCATGGTTGTAAATACTAACTTACATTATAATATGATTATATTTGTCAGCTAGTAATTATGACGATGTATGTTATAGCCTATGCAACAGTAAAACTTGCTGTCTAGGTCCTTTTTGCTTCTGGTAAAAGATACTTATTGCGGGTTTAGATAAAATTTTAAGCTACATTTGTTTGTATATATAAAAGCATACATATATATGTTGTAAGTGCAATTGTAACTGCGGTTCATTGTGGCTTTAATACATCTTAAATTGGGGACTATTGATGTGTGTACATATATATACAAGCATCCATAACCAGTTTAAATTTAAAGTTGAGGTTTTTTTTGTTTTTTTTTTCTCCTTAAATTTGATTTTAGATCTCTTACTAAGTCTAGAAGTTAGCACAAATAATCATGTTAGTGCAATATTTTGTTAATGAGGATAATCATAAACACTTGAAAAATGAATGTATGTTTCCCTTTAGATATTGTTTGCTGTTTCTGAAGCTAAAGAAAAATGGAAAAGTGAACTTGAAGATTTGAAGAAAAATGTAATACCTGGGAAGGAATTGGAAGAGAAGATCCATTCTCTGCAGAGGGAACTTGAATTAAAGGATGAGGAAGTCCCTGTGGTTGTCAGGGCTGAGTTGGCTAAGGCTCGGAGTGAATGGAACAAAGAAAAGCAAGAAGAAATCCACAGAATTCAAGAACAAAATGAGCAAGATTACCGGCAATTTTTAGATGATCATCGAAGTAAAATTAATGAGGTGCTTGCGGCAGCTAAAGAAGACTTTATGAAACAGAAAACTGAACTTCTTCTTCAGAAGGAGACAGAACTACAAACATGTCTAGACCAGAGTCGTAGAGAATGGACTATGCAGGAAGGCAGACGGATCCAAGTGGAGATTTATCAATACGAAGAAGACATCTTAATTATACTTGAATTTCTCTTAAGGGATGCCCAAAAGGAACATATTGGTGGTTCAGAGAAGAAGCAACTTTTGGAAATCATGTCGACTTGTTCTTCAAAATGGGTGTCTGTGCAATATTTTGAAAAACTGAAGGTCTGCATACAGAAAGCATTTCGAGATACATGCTTCCCACTTAAAGAAAATGCTGGCCCACACTGGGAAAAGGTATGTTCCTGAGAAGTGAAAACAAATATTAAGCATGGAAGATGAGTGCAGAAGTTGCATATGGTATTTTTTCCCCTTTAATTTAGGACTTGTGTTTCTACCAATGGTTTTATTACATTCGCATATTGTTGGGGGAAAAACCTTCTACTTCTTCATAGTGCCATAGTTATAAGGCAGAGCCTTAATATTCATTTTTTTTCCTTAAAAAATAAAAGCAATTGTTTATAATAACCTGAGATTTCAGAAACTGAAGAACTCTCATCACAATTTTTGTGTTTTGGACATGACCACTTTAACAAATGTGCATCATGGGGAACTAGGTTTTTTTTTTTTAAGTTTTTATTGTTAATTGAGTGAAAGGTTACAGGGCAGATCATCAGTTTTACATTCAACAAATCGTATACTTTTTTTCATTACAATGATTATAATCCCCTCCATGTACCATAAGTTAACAGTGGTGGTGGTTATGTGCCGTGGAGTCGGATCTGAGTCATAGTGACCTTGTACAGGGTTTCTAAGGCTGTAAATCTTTACAAGAGCAGAAAGCCTCATCTTTCTCCCACAGAACAGCTGGTAGTGTCGAACTGCTGACCGTAAGGTTTGCAGCCCGATTCGTAACCACTACGCTACCAGAGCTCCTTTCAGTTAACAGTATTTCTCTCTATTCGTTTTGGCTCTTTTTTTTTTTTTTTTAACACTCAGGCATAGGCAATAATTTACACCACCAAAAGGCACAATTCTGCAAGTCTGCTTCCTGGCCACCAACTCTCAGTATCTCTCTTTCCATGAATCTAGCGTCCTCAGCTGCTCCCTCTATTCATGTCCCCATCTCTTCCACCATCTCTGATGTCACTGCTTCGCTGGATTGCACTGGGGTTTTTAAGAATTTCTGGAAGAGTATGTGTGAAAACCTTCTTGATTTTAAGACATTTTTATTCCATATAGGCAAAAAATGCCAAACAAATACAGAGTACTGATTTAGAAACAGTAGAGGTGTATTGCTCACCCATGCAAAACTTCCAAGCTCAAATTGGTTGGTACATTACATATGTACATGTAGAATGAATTAATTGTATTCTTTTTATTTGTATACATATGCTCTGAGCCCAGCTTTGGGTTAATATGGAGGATCTGATTAAACTAAAGTCTTTTGCTATCTTTTGACTGAAGAGATTCATTATGCATGAATGATACAAAACAACATTCTAGGCATTGTGATCAGCTCATTTCTACACTTGGAATTAGAGCTAGAAACAAATGCCAAGATTTAGAAGTTTTGTCTTGTGGAAGAGTTAAGGCCCACCAAGATATTGTGAAGGAGGTCAACAGTTAAGCACTCAGATGCTAACAAAACTCACTGTTCTGCAGGAGCAGAGATCTGACCGTCTGCTTCCCATAAAGATTACAGCCTAGGAAACCCAATGGGGCAGGTCTTTCCTGTCCTGTAGGCTCGCTATGAGTCAAAATCCACTCTATGGTACATAACAACAATGGCGATAAATATCATGATTAAAGATTTTCAAGGCATTTAGTAATAATGTCTGCTGGAAAGAGTTATAAGGCAGAGGGAAACAATCTGAGCAGGCATTTATTATCTGTGTTATGAAAAAGGTCCCTGCCAGACTGACTCCTGGAGTTGGGTAGGATTTGCATGGTGCATTGTGGCCTTCCAGTATCCCGCAATTGAAGAGGTACAGAATCTTAGAGCCAGAGGGACCAGAATGATCAGTCTGCCCCAGCCCACTTTACCCTGATTGTTATTTTTATTTTTTCAGTTATGCTATCTTCAACATTGTTTTTGTTTTTTTTTTAAATTTAAGGTTTTTATTGTGGATTGAGTGAAAGTTTACAGGGCACATCATCAGCTTCACACTCAACAATTCATATAACTTGTTTCATTACATTGACCACAATTCCCTCCATATACCACCAGTCAAAAGCATTTCTCTCTATCCACTTTAGCTTTTTTTAAAAAAACAAACAAAAAAACCCACTCAGGCATATATAATAAATTACATCTCCAAAGGGCACATTCTGCAAGTCTGCTCCTGGCCACTAACTCCCAGTCCTTCTCTTCTTAGTTGATGAATCTAAAGTCCTCTATGACCCCATCTCTACCTCCATCTCTGGCGCTGCTGCTTCTCTGGATAAGGTCCCACATTCTATTTGTGTGGTCCTCTCTTGATGGTCCTAGGGTCCTCTGTTTCTGGACTGTAAGATTAATCACTCCCC